TTGTGTTTTTAAGCTCTAATTGGCTTAAGCAGTTTTCCAAGTTTGCAAACGTCTTAGTGATTAAATTGCACTAATGCTGAGATTATATTCCATTTTAATTCATGGTTGTGTTTATAGGGAGAGTCTCTGGAACAGTCATTTATAATGCATGTATATGGGCAGGCAAGAAATCAGGCCTGAGCTTGGTATTATTGTAAAACAGCAACCGCAACCAAAAGATAAAAATCATTTGAAATATATATCCCAGAAGTCTATACAAATTTGGTTTGAGCACAGAAGTATAACAAATCAAACAGCAGATGCTGTTCAACCTCAGTTTTTGGCTCTTTGAGAAAGACTCCAGAAAGCCATAATATTAAAACTTTTTGTTTTTGTAATACAGCATATCAAATGAAATGAAGTCTGAATTTATTACCTCTCACTTGTATCATTCAAAGTAAACACTGATCAACAACAGAATGTTGGTGTATGAAAAATTATATAAAGTTTATAAGTGAATAGATCTCTTCCCAAGGTATCTCACTGGCTGAAGAAATCTCAGAGTTTCAAGTTATGACAGCAGCCCTACTTGTCAGAATAGGGAACAGGAAAGAACCATGAGAATTATGGCTGCAGAGGTTGGGTTTAAAAGTAGTACAGTACTAAAAAAAGGCCCAAGATGAGGCCATTTCAGAGAGAAATACATTTATAGGAACAATTATTTTTAACAAATGCCCGTCATGAAAAATCAACCTGATGTTGCTGGATTACTCAAATACTAGAATCATTATAATTAACTCTTAGTTGGTTAACCATAAACACAGACATCACAACTGACTCCACAAAACTCTTACTTCCATGAACACACACACTGGGAGGATTTGCCATTAAAAGGCAACAGGCCTTTATCCAACCCAGAATACTATAAGCCTGAGGATTCTCCTCACCTACATGTCTCAAGGGGAACAAGACGTTACTGAAGAAATGAGTGAATCATATCCCTAGAAGCTGCTTTGCCGATGAAAGATGGCCTACTTCTGTTTCTAGAACTGTAAAATGCGCAATTCTGAATAGTTTTGTTTGGCATCAGGCTTCACATTCGATACACTGAATCACATTAGGCCTCCCAGAGTCCCATTAGAACCAAAAATAAAACTGAATGCAGGCAGATGCAAATGAGTAATCAAGCCTTTCCATTTAAAAAATAAACTAAAACATTAGTTTATCTAAGCCACTAAGCTTTATTTAACCAGGAAAAATTATATAGCATAACTTCTTGGTGCTCCAATGTCAACATTTTCTTTATTTCCTGTCTCAGTTTTACAAGATTCCAGCATGCTTGGGTTTACTAATGCCATGTAAAAATATTCTCTCTCTACTCCATAAAGAATGGATGGGAAAGCAACTTTCCATAAGCTGGGTTCAGGATGTGATCTGAATGGTTCTGGCTTTTATTGTATGAATTTAGCCATTATGACTTGTAAATCATTATGACTTGTAGGAATTTATTTATTAATTAAATGTGTATGCCGCCCATCTCCCCCAACAGGTGACTCTTATAGCTCAGTGCAAACCCAGCCAATTGTGGTTTCTTCAATTTTCAAGCAAATCACAACTTAACAACGTGCAATAACCTCCTCAAACATTCCTGACCATCCAGGTTCTCTGGATCACACAAATGCTTTGATCTGACTGACATTTCCCATATAACTAATGGCAGTAGGACGACTATGTAAGCTCCCATTATGATTCAGAGGTGCTTCAGAACTCACATGAACAAGCACCTCTCTGCTATTCATTAAAGCAGCCTGTTCACACAAACCTTTTAAAAAAAGATGCCACTGTCCTGAGAAGTTGACACATTAAACCACATGACTCTTAAAGCAGCCCATTGTTTAGGCTTCCTTGGGAAGCCTCTTTTTTGGGGGGGCTACTTTAATTAGTGAAGTCGATAGCCCTTCTCCCAGCCATAGTGAGTACTTCTCTTTCAGATGAAATGAATTAAACTCACTTTCTTGTACAATTAGCGAAGAAGATCACTATAACATTGACACAGATATAGTACCCATGCACAGAAAAACATAATTCACAGAACTGTTGAGAGAAACAGAGAGCCAGTAGGTGTAGTGGTTAAAGGCACTGGCTAGAAACTGGTACACCATGAATTCAAGTTCTGCCTTAGGCACAAAGCCAGCTGGATGATTTGGGACCAGTGCCTTTCTCTCAGCCCTAAGGCGGCAATGGCAAAACCACTTCTGAAAAATGGTGCCAAGAAAACTGCATGAACTTGTTCATGTAGTTGCCAGGAGTCAGAGTTACTCAAAAGCATCAAAAAATCAGGGAGAGAAGGGACAGGGGGAGAGAAAGAGAATAGTTAGGTTTTATTTTTGCTAACAAGCTCTGTCTACTGACTGTCAATACTAACATATTTTTGATTCCTACTAAATGCAAATGTCAATTGATTTTTTTTATCCCTACTTAATCTTACTTAAAGCAGTTGGACATTCAAGGATCAGCAAGATATATATGATCTTTTCATTCCAGCTTACTCCAAAACAGCTGAGATGTAATTAAGCACCACCACTCTGTCTAAGAAGGTTGGCTATTCTTGACTTGATACTAACCAATAAAGAAGACTTAGTTAAGAAAATGGTAGTGGCAGCTGAGTGTAGTCAAATACATTATCCTGGTCCCCAAAACATTTAATAAATTCACAGCAAGTGTAAGTAGGATTTTATGGTAGAAGAAACTAGCATGAAAAGTTGCTCAAGGCAGCCCTAGAGAGTAACACTAGGGAGTTCCTAAAGAAGAGTGGATATGTAACTGTATTGTATCCTTTCTGTAGTAGATGTGATGCAAAGACTTATGATGCAACAACTGTTACATGCAACGCTAGCAAGATTTAGAAACCATACCAAAGTGTATGAGCATTAGATGTTATGGATCTATTCTAAAGTGCTAGAAAGAGCCACGATCTGCTCTGCTTTAAGAGTAAGACAGGGAGATGTTCTTGAATACTACCAAGTCCTGAAAGCTTATTTGCTGAAATAGTGGCAGCAAAAAGTAGCAACAGCTACATCTGATCTTGTTTTCTAAATCTGAATGCAAGATGTATGACTGTACATGACATAGACAATTTTCATACCAATAAAGAAGAAACTTCACACTTCAGGATCCATGCAACATGCCCTATTTATTTCAAAGTTTGCATTTTTCCAAGGATTGTCTTCACTGTACTTTTAACACAACATTGGCTAATCAAATGGGAACCATTAATGATGCTGAGGATAATTCAACATTTGTACATGCAATAACATAAAATTGATGGTAATGCAAAAAGACAAGAAGACTACACACAAACAGAGATCCAAAATGACAGGGATTCCGAGCCTAAAAAAGCTTTCGGTGCAAAACACAATTTTAGAAATGCACATCACCACCACTGTATATAATTCTAGATATCTCATAGCTTTCAAAAAAGTCAAAATAACAGCTCCTTACAAACTAAATTAAATCTGGTTGCCCAAGCTGGGAATCTAATGTTGCATAAGGCCCTAAGGCAGTTCTAAAATGCCCAATCGTATTTGTAATGCAAGAAAAGGAAAATGATTCATTGCACAGAGAGTAATCATGTTAACTATATTAAATCAGTTACTTCTAATTTAATGTAATGTTTCCCTTGTCCACCTACTTTCTGGAATACAACTTCTACATGGAACAAAAAGGCCAAGTAAGACTCCAGATTCCAAAGACTTGTTTAATCATGTATTTACAATATGCCCTGTATTTGCTTGTTGCGTGGCTAATGTTACAGCATTGCATAATTCCAATTAATTTCAGCATAGAAGAGGGAGAAAGAAGAGCACACACAGGACAATTTTGACAGCCTGAATTATAATTCTATCCATTGCTACTCAGCAGTAAACCCTGCTGAAACAGTAGGGTCTACAGGTAGTCCTCATTTAGTGACCATAATTGGGATCAACTCAGCTGTTAAGCAAAGTAATTGCTAAGTGAAACTGACTACTTATATTACTTCAGCTTTCCTTTGCTTTACAGACCTGCAAGGGCTGTAAATGCAAGGACTGGTTGTAAAGTTACTTTTTATCACCAGCATAACTGTGAACAATTGCTAAATCAGGACTACCTGTAGTACTAATAAGCAGTTATTAGGAATACAGCTAGTTACTAAATGTCCAATGTTAAGCTAACTGAAGTAACTACATTCCAAGTTGGAAAGGGTACTTCCTCCATATTTCTAAGCTCATTTTAGAAAAATACATATAAGATTATCTACTTTTCAAACATTTCCATAAAGTTGTTTCATTTAGAACACAATCTTACATGTGCCTATGTAGTACTAAGCACTACTAAGTTCAGTGGAGCCCACTTTCGGACAAATGGATGAAGGATCGCAGCTAATTCTAGCAGTCCAGTAACTTAAGCTCTCTGGAGATATTACAAAGTTATTTAATAGAGTGGAACCATCAAGGAGACATTACATTAGCAAGAAACACAGAATGCATTACTGTACTTTATCAGCATATTACTAGATATATATGAAACAAATGCATTAGTATGAAGTACGGGATACATAATACACAATACAACTGATTACATCCTACTGTAATGCAAGCACTCCAGATCAAAGCATTTTAAAAAGGACAGCTCAAGAGTTATTCCATTACCCTTTGCAAATCCTTCGAGTACCGTCGGTCTCTTTAACTTGCCTTACTGGTATACTTGCCCGAGTTCCAAATTGGCCAATATTGTGAAAAACAGCAGGCTCAAAACTGTATAAAACAGCACATACACACTATTTCCCTCCCCACATCCAAAGAATAACAGGCCAGTCCGCTGATCTCTTCCAAACGCTACAGATGCACACGCGTTTTTTAGAAGTCAATGCAGATACCATCTATCGCTAGGTCTGATCTGCCTGAGATCCGCCTGCATGCAAAGAGGCACGTACTCGAACACAAAAAGCGGGAGGCCCCGTCCTCTCTCGTGCACTTACTTACCAGTGTTTGCCCTGATGTTTTCCCGTAAAAATTGCCCGCTGGAAAGATGCTTGAGGCCAAAGCTCCTGGCGATCCTCTCGCACACAGTTCCTTTGCCGGATCCCGGGGGACCCAAGACGACGGCTCTCAGAAGCTTGGAAGCCATTGCAATCTACCTACGAAAAAGAGTCACACAGTTAAAAACCAGGATGCCGATTCAAAACCTGAGAAACAAAGACAGAAGCCCGCTCCCGTTCCTCCAGGGAGAGAAGAGTAGACCCCCCCCCCAGACTCAGTTTTCCTAACTTCCCCTTGTTCCAAGCCGGAGAGCCGTTGGCCAACCCAGCGGGTCTCAAGTCACTCCAAGCCTGGCATGGTAGAAACCAGGAGCGGAGCTCGCGGCGAGCTGTTGCTGCATTATTTCGATGACGTTGATGAAGCTAAACTTTATCTTCCTCGCCTCCCCATCACCCCTGGATGCCGAGGAGGAATGCTCGCCACACGGCGGCGGCGGCAGCGCGGAAGGCTGAATGGTGGTTTGTCACTTCCTGATGTCTTCTCCCCAATCCAGCAAGACTCGCGCCTGGGGGGAGAGGAACGAGGTGGAAAATGTTGCAAAGTTTGAACTGAAGGGACGCCGGGCACTTTCTCTTGAGTTGCATGTGAGCAAGTCTTCCAAAAGCGCCTCTTAACGACCGGACCGGTTCCCTGGAAGTCGCAAGAAAACTTTCTTTGGGCTGATAAGAGTAAAACGCTAAAGTTACAGCATCAGGCACTAAACACCTCCGAACACAGATGATCTGGTTTAAGACTCCTGTGCAAACTTTTAACTACTGAGTGTCACTCAGATAAGCACACGCCCTGATTAAAATAACTCTTCTGTTAGCAGACAAAACAACCAACTCACCACTTCTTTGAGCAACTGAAAACAAAGCACAGATCCTAAGAAGGAAAAAAATAAGCCCGCAAAATGGCGTTTTTAAAATAGTCAACTGATTGTTTCACATATTCGCAATCTTCGTTCAATCAAAAAAAAAAAGCAACACTTCACAGTTCCGCCTGCGCCTTTAAGAGAAGCGCGAGAGAGTCTCTTCGCAAAGGCAAACTGTTCTCAATTACTACTCCGCTCGCTTGCACGCAGCAGCAGCTTCAGTACATCATAAGGAGGAGGGAGAAAATCCCACCAGTTGTAGTCAACAGCAAACGAACTCCGCCCCCATAAAGCAAGGCGTCTTGGGTTCTGTAGTCCTGAAATGTATTTTATCGCGTGGTTTTCGGTAAACTTTGCATCTCAGTTCGACTACGTCTCCCAGAAGCCTCCAAAGCTAAATGATGTTCCAACCTTTTCCATCCACCTTGCCATAAGGACTAGATGGATAGGCTGGAGTGTAGGTGTAGCTGGGCGCTGCGGGGGA